TTCATGAAAGAGTCTGCAAGACATTCTTCAGGACAAGCAGATAGTGACTGCCTTTGAAAGTTCCTGCTTTGTGGAAATGTCTGCTGGAAACTATGGGCCTCTAGGCTGAAGATGGATGCCCCAACGGTACAGAGGAACTTTGGGTGACTGTCCAGGCAGTGAGATGTCTCTGTCATTTCTAGAGTTTGAGAGTTTGCTTATTTCTTATTTGTTTAGGTAATATTGTATCTTTCTGGACTCTTTGATGGAGTTAAGAAAGAATAGTTAGCTATAGTTATAGTTTTCCTTAGTTATGCTATAGATTATTGTAATTGTTACTTGATAACTGTTTTGTTATATGTAATTTTGCTATATTAAGTTAAAGCCTTCTTTCTTTGTTTAAACAGAAAAAGGGGAAGTGATGTGGGAGTGTCATATATCAATCTGTTGATTTCATTGGCTGAGCAATAAAAGAAACTGCTTGGCTGGCCCTTAGCTTAGAGCATAGGTGGGAGGAGGAAACAGAATAGAATTCTGGGCGGAAGAGGAAGTGAGGTCAGACTCTGCTCTGCTTCCGGAGAGACTGGACAGCTCTGATGGAGCAGAGACGCCATGCTCAGCTCTCCCAGGCAGCTGCAACCCACGATGGACTTAGGCTAGAATCTTTCCGGTAAGCGCACCTTGGGGTGCTTACAAACATCATTAGAAATGGGCTAGACCAGGTGCGAGAATTAGCCTGTAAGGGCTAGAGTTCATGGGCCAAGCAGTTCTTTAAATGAATACAGTTTGTGTGCTGTTATTTCGGGCATAAGCTAGCCAAGCGGCCGGGGTGTTGGGGACGCAGCCCCGCCGCTCCTATTTCAACACCTGCCCCTGCCTCCTAAGTGCTGGGATTAAAAATGTGTGACATGCCGGGCGGTGGTGGCGCACGCCTTTAATCCCAGCACTCGGGAGGCAGAGACAGGCAGATCTCTGGGAGTTCGAGGCCAGCCTGGTCTACAAGAACTAGTTCCGGGACAGGCACCAAAGCTACAGAGAAACCCTGTCTCGAAAAACCAATATATATATAAATGTGTGACACCACTTTCTGGCTAGACTTCCAATTTTTAATGAATAAAGAAACAACATGAAATTCATTCCTGAATTTTCAGTTATAAAAAACTATTAATTATGCTATCTTTTCAGTCACAAAAATCTCTCTATTAAGTCCTACCCCCCCAAAAAAAATGTAGGTTTTATTTTCGTTAATTCTGTGAAGTAATATAAATTCACTAAGTAGTAAAAGAGTAAACCATTATCATGTTCAGAGGAAAATTCTGAAAGTTTTCAAAGCCTCTTTAATCACATTCAACTGTGCCTTTAAGGAAGAAAAACAAAACTGCCATATATTATTCAAAATCCAAAGTAACATTGAGACTTACAGTAGTTGGTGTTTATAGGATTACAACTGAATGCAATAGGTTTTCCTCCTAATGAGTGTGAAGCCATTGAGTGTTGCCTGAGGTTTCTGTTTCACCAGGTCCCACAGCCGTTTAGTCCCAAGTAAACACACAGAGGTCTATATTAATCATAAACTGGTTGGCCTAGTAGCTCAGGCTTCTTATTAACTCTTACAACTTATAGTAGCCCATAATTCTTGACTGTATTAACCACATGACTTGGTACCTTTTTCGGCGAGGCAGTCACATCTTTCTTGCTCTGTGTCTAGCTTTGTCTGTGTCTGGGTTACGACTGCAGACTGAGCTTTTCTCTTTCCAGAATTTTCCTGTTCTCATTGCCCTGCCTCTACTTCCTGCCTGGTCATCCCACCTATACTTCCTGCCTGGCTACTGGCCAATCGGCATTTTATTAAACAAGTACAAGAAACAAATCTTTACAGGGTAAAATTGTTGTCCCACAGCAATTGAGTAGGGCCAGAAGATAGAAGAATAGAGACATTTGCCCATCGGCAGGCAAAGAAAGCATTGGGCTCACCATTAAAACAAACAAAAAACAGTCTCCCTGGATTTTTACTTGGTAAACCTACACATATTCATGCAGGAAAGCACATATATGGATGAGTACATGTCTGAGCATGCTTCAGTTTAAGGTCAGAGTTTAAAGGGGGGATATAGTTGGCACATTTCTGGACACACTGAACTCAGGGATCAAAAAAAGAGAAGATAGGCAGATACTACAAGTGGTTAATTTTAGACAAACCTGGGCTACATAGAAAAAGGAAAGACAAAGAAAGAAGAAAGCACTTCTGAGCATCCTCAGAGCAAGGTCATAAGATGCAAGCTGGGGTGGAAAGTTTGTAGATGCGTGGGTGTGCTAAGTTCAGAATTGTAGTGAGCAAGGTTGCTCTCCGTGCTTGAAAGAATAAATCAAAGAGGTTCAGCCACCTTCGCTAGTCTTTTGTAAGTTTCTCCAAAATATTTTAGCAGAAACAAAAATGTGGGAATGGTTTGTAGTCCAGTACATAGCTATAATCCTAGCACTTGGGTGACAGAGACAAATGTACAAGAAGTTGAAGGCCTGTCTGGGTTATGTAGAAAGTTCTAGAACAACTGCATAGCACAACTAAGAAAAAAGAAAGGAAGGAAGGAAGAAGGAAAGAAAGAAGGAATGAAGGCTGGTTTGAAAGTGTTTGCTTCCTGCCTCATTTGCAGCTAGCGTTCATGATCCTGAAGACATGAGACACAGCCCACGCATTTTGCTTGCTTGTGAAGAGCTACTCTCCCTACCCATACTTCACTGCCTTCGCTCTATGTATCAAGTTCTAGGTCAGCCAGAGCTCTACAGTGAGACCCTGTTTAATAACAAAATAAATACTGAATACCTCCTGTTCTGAACAGTCTGAACTGTATCACAAAGACAAGAGCACTAGAGGTTTGGCAGTCAGTCCGCGGCAAGTGACAGAACCTTTGGGAGGTGAGGGGTCTCGTAAAAAGGAGCTAAGGTCTTGGACTCTTGTCCCCGCTGGGGCTTGAGAGCCAGGTCACTTCCTGTCTCTCTTGCTTACTCGGTTTCCTGTCATGAACAGAATGTTTTCTTGCACCACATACTCCTGCCATCATGACCCAAGCCACCACAGGGCCAAGGGACCGTGCACTGAAATCCCTAAAAACTTTTCTCCTTTTAAGTTAATTATGCTAAATATTTTGTCATAGTGGTTAAAATGAAGACTTCAATATTACTAGCTCTAGTTTGTCCCATAAAAACTTTTTAAAATTTCCTTATACTAAGCTGGGCTGGAGAGATGGCTCAGCAGTTAAGAAAGAGCACTGTCTGCTCTTCCAAAGGTCCCATGTTCAATTCCCAGCAACCACATGGTGGCTCACAGCCATCTGTAATGAGATCTGGTGTCCTCATAAGAGACCTGGTCAGTCATCCTCACCAACTTAGACCATGAAACCCAATACGGAAGAGTACAACAGAACCACCATATACAGGCTGGCCATGTATGCTTCAGCAGCAAAAATAAAAGCTTAGAAAGACTTTCCTAGTACCACCATATTTTTTTGACCAACAAACAGTGATACTTTAAATATGAATAGATTAGATCTCCTTTGTATAAATCATAATTGTTAAAGGATAAAATATTTCATACAAATAAAGTTTTTAGGCTAAAGTATGGGATGAAATAATTCTCAGCTATGACTATTCTTAAAGGGGTGTATTTCTGCAAACACCTTGGGTTTTATTTCAGCAAAGAATAACAGACACTAATACGAACAGACCCACTGCCAACTCATTATTCCCATCCCTATTAAAGCAAATAGCCACACACAAGCTAACCTGGAGCACTGTAAGTAATGAGAGTGTTAAACCAAGCCCAATGCATAATTCATGGAGTCTAATTCCTCCAGTTACTTGGCAGTTCTCTCACAGCCAGCTGAAACAATGCAGAATGATTACAAAGACGCATCGCCTCCGCTGCTAGGGTGTATGCCTGATCTATTAAACCGGCTCATTTATTTAAATAATCATCATCCGTGGCCACTTTGCATTCTCAGTGTTAGCATCTCTGAGATAATGTAATGCAAATGTACCTTGTTGGAGTTTTGAAATGAGGCGGTGTCCACACAACGTCTGCTTCACACACGAAAGCTGATTTCCAGGTGAACCGGAGCTCCAGGGTATGAGGGCATACCCTGTGACTCTCAGAGATGTCAAGTCACATTCCTCCTTCTTCATCTTGGCAACGTGGAGGAGCCTAGGGTTAACAAGATGATCCTGGTAGTTAAGAAAGCTGAGAGATGGTTCTATTTCTGGATCTTCCATTGACTCGATTTGACCTAAGCCAAACTTGTCTAGACTTTCCTCTCTAACTCCATCACATGAGCTGAGGACCAGAATATCTATGAGACTCTTCCAGTTCTCACATTCAGCCATCTGCATTAGCACTAAACCACTCAGGCTTCCAGCCATAGTCCACTAGACTACAAGAATAAACTTTGCAGAGATTTTTCTTAAAAAAAATAGTTTTATATAAAGGTTTTGTAAGACTAAATTAATTAATTAAAATAGTAAAGGGAATCAACCTTTGCCCAAAGCCTGATGCCACCAGTGGCATAATGGAACAGCAGAATGGGTATAGGCTATGATGTCATTAATAAACCATTAGTTTTTTAAGCCCACAGACTACTTTCCTTCCGGCTTGCTGGTGAGATAATTCTCTTTTTGTTTGACTTAGTTAAGTTACAGCTTCTGCTACTTGCAGGCCAAAGAATCTATCCAGTACATGTAGTTATTTATTTGTAGATTCCATATACTACATAATTGTACATGTGCATATAATTTAACTTTTAAAATTATCTGTACAGCAAAAATTTTATAAGTAACAGGAAATCTGTGGAGAGTTCCGCCATATGCAATATTAAACAAGCACATAGTGGCGCATTCTAGGCACACAATACACTGGGCAGGGGTTTCTATTTGATTTACCTGGGCTTTTGTTTGGTTAATTATTTACAAACCAAAAGATTAAACATTAAAGGCACTTTGGAATCAAACTTTTCTGTCAGGCTGTCACTTTACAGAAGTAGGCGAGGGAAAAGGCCTTGTCTGCACTTTTGCCAAGGTATTAGCTTCCTACAACCTATTTCCTTGTTGGCATTACACAAAGGGTCTTGAACTTGAGATTCTTAGTGCACAAGATGCCTTCGAGCTGGGACTGAAATGTGACTCCTCCCCGCAAAGAACAATACTACAGATATGATCAGGTGAATTACTGAGGGATTTCATCCTAGCCTGTAAGACTCCTGGTCTAATCCAGGGTGATAATTTCAAAGAACAGAGAACTGGGAAAGGACAGATGCTCAAGAATAAACTGGAAAATCAACACAGGTATGAAATGCAGCCTGGGGCAGACAGTTTCCAGTGTATGAATGCTGAACATTTTAACTGATTTATCAATTATGAGGCCCACAGAAAGGGCCGCAGTTGTCTGGCTTGCCTCACCGTCTAACACACAGGCCATGCTGCAGGCACTGGGCACCACGGCTTTTTGCAATCGTCTTATTCTTCCTGTTCGCACTTGTGAGGGAGGGTTCCATTGCCCCCACACTCCTTCCATCTTTGCTCTCCTCTGCTCCCACTCCCACCCGTACACGAATTCTATATGGTCTTAATAAATAAAGCCTGGAGTCAGATATTAGGGGGTGAAAGCTGAGAGAACAGAGAAGCAGTGCGGCCTGCCACTAGAGAGACCTTTAACCTCTAGCCAAGCTCAGACCAAAAGGACAGTCCTGTGCTCAGACTGTGTCCTCTGACTGACTGCAGCCTCAGACTTCAACTGTCTCCACAACTCTCGGACTGTTTCTGAGCTTCTGTCTCCCCTCACCCCAGCCGCCTTATATTCCTCTCTCTGCCTAGCCATATCCCTGCCTGTCTCCACCTCCCCACTGCTGGGATTAAGGGTGTAGTATTCCCAAATACTGGGATTAAAGGTGTGATCCACCACCATTTGGCCTCTAGTGGCTTAGCTCTGCACTCTGACCTTCAGGGAAGCTTTATTTGTTAAAACACAAACAAAATATCACTACCCTACCCCTTGTATTCTGCTTTCCTTGCCAGGGCTCACTCATCATCTCAGGCTAAATTCATGTCTGACCTTCTAGAAGCCTCCCTGAGCACCCCTCTCCTCTCAGCTGCTATGTAGGAAAGTCTACACAGCATAATTCCATTTTCTGATGAATGAGGCAGAGTGGTATGATGAAGGGCTTAGTCATTAGCCATTAAAGCCAGACTCTGATCTCTGATGTTCATTGAGTCAGTTGCTGTATAGCAGGTTCTCAATCTAAAAAAAAAAAAAAATTGCTGTCGTGGTTAGTTAGTACTGATGGTCGACTATAGACACCAGGATGCAAATCTGAGCACACCTGTGAGGGACTGTCTAGGTTCAGATTAGACTCTGGGAATGTCTGTAGGGTTATCTTAGTCGTGTGAACTGAGATGGGAAGACCTACCCCAGGCAGGGGGTTCTGAACTGTCGAAAAGTGGAGGGAGCAAACAGAGCGCTTGAGTGGATGTGTTTGTTTCTGGGTACTTCTGACTGTGGGCATAATGCGAATAGCTGCTTCAAATTCCCTATCTCTCTGCTTCCCTGCCGTGATGAGTTGTAATTTGAACTGTGAGTTCTGATTTTTGCTATCTAGTATAAAATGCATTTAAGCACCAGGTTTAGCCTCTTTTGCCACCATCTACAAAGATGACTGAGTTTGAGACCACGCGGTTGACACACGTGGTCTGTGCTGGCTCCCTTGGACGTAGAGGTGGGATCCAGGCATGGGAAGCCCAGTGACACTCTCAAGTAAACAGTTGCCTGTCTGTAATATAAATACACGTGTCCCGCTCACCTCACAGACTTGCGGGAATTGAAAAGGGTGCCAGGATAGGCTCCAAAGCTACACAGAGAAACCCTGTTTTAGAGACCCACATTGGAGCACCGGACTGAAATCTCAAGGTCCAAATCAGGAGCAGAAGGAGAGAGAGCACTAGCAAGGAACTCAGGACCGCGAGGGGTGCACCCACACACTGAGACAATGGGGATGTTCTATCAGGAACTTACCAAGGCCAGCTGGCCTGGGTCTGAAAAAGCCTGGGTCAAAACTGGTCTCGCTGAACATAGCGGACAAGGAGGACTACTGAGACCTCAAGAACAATGGCAACGGGTTTTTGATTCTACTGGACCTATTGGTTTCGTGGGAGCCTAGGCAGTTTCGTGGATGCTCACCTTACTAGACCTGGATGGAGGTGGGTGGTCCTTGGACTTCCCACAGGGCAGTGAACCCTGATTGCTTTTTGGGCTGACGAGGGAGGGGGACTTGATTGGGGGAGGAGGAGGGAAAGGGGAGGCGGCGGTGGGGAAGAGACAGAAATCTTTAATAAATAAATAAATTTAAAAAGAAAAGAAACCCTGTTTTGAATAAACAAAAAAAAGATACTCAGAATACTTTTAATATTTTCATATAAATATTTAATAGTACCCCAGGATACTTATAACATCAAATGAACATAAATGCATAATTATTCAACAGTATGACCATGATCTCTGTGATGGCTGTTCTTGGTCATCCACTTCACTGTATCTGAAATAAACTACAATCCCGATATGGAGGGCACACCTGTGAGAGATTTTCTGCTTGGTTTGAAGTGAGTGGATCTACTTCTAGTCTGGACCTTTGAGGCTGGAAGCCACACACCTTAATTTGGATCTTGAGGTGGGAAGACACACGCCTTTGATCTGGATCTTAAGGTGGAAGATACATTCCTTTATTCCAAATCTTGAGGCAGGAAGACATAACTTTATTCTAGGCCATACCTGTTCTGGTGGAAGTTCCACCTCAAACCCCATCTCTCTCCAGACCCTGCAGCATCTCAGAAAGCCCACCCAGTGATGACCTGCGGCACATGACGCCCATCTGTGCTCTATGCACCACCATACGGTTCATGAGCCGGGCAAGGGGCTGGAGACTGAACCACACAAACACACAGAGACAGAGAGACAGACATGGGTCATCCTTGAAACAGGAATGCCCCAAGAATGTTCCCTTTATTGTGTTCAGGGATAGCCATGCCCCAAGCCAAACACACCAGAAACCACTCTCCTGCCATCAGGAACTCCTGAGCATCTCATTCTCAGAGCAGCTGTAGGCACTCAGATCAGGGGGAAACAAGTTGTTTATAAGAAATTCAGGATCACTGCTCCCAACAATGACCCCTCCCCCAGAGATGCTCAAGACCACTCCCACAGGGTATTTAAACTGCCTCCCCCAGAAAAGAGACATGTGGTTTTTCGGGCTCTCCCCCATCTCCTTTCTGGGGGGGGGGACTTCAAAATCATCTGGGAGTGTTCTATACATTATACTGGACTCTATCCAGTTTGATTTGATTTTGTCTGATTTGGATTGCTGTGTTGACAGAGAGGCTTATCTGGGTATCTTCTGCTAGAAGTCTGTATAAGGACCTAGAATAACTAAACTTTTGCCCTTTGCCTGCTTGCCCTTGCCTTGCTAGCACATCCATTCCTTCACTGACATTGGAGCCTACTTCTTCAGGATCCCAGCACCTACAGAAGATCAGCTGAGACAGCCAACCTTGTGGACTGAGCAGCCACTAGATTTTTGGATTTTCTGTTCACAGCTGGCCATTGTTGTGCTAGCTGGGCTGCAGCCTATAGTCATGCCAATAAATCCCGTGTGCGTGTGTATCCCCATATATAGATGTATATATATTTACATATAGATAGAGAGATTCATTCCATAAGTTCTGCAACTCTAGAAAACCCTGACTAATACAGCCACAAAAATATATTTTAGAAAAGACTACAATGAAACTTAGCATCTTGTTAATATGACAGGAGACAAAAATACAGAACTCTCTCATCCTCTCCAAGTACATGAGTAACTGTCTTAAATTTTGTGCCCAAGACAATATTTTGAACACACAGATAAAACTGAATTGCTAGGGTGATGCTAGTGGCAACATCAAACAGTCTCTCTCTACTTCTAGCAGATCCCAACAGGAAAGCAGGCACCAGCAAAGAATGGTTCAAAGAGTTCTGCCCCAGCAATACCAATCAGAGGGTGAGTTTGATGGAGGTGGGTCTTGTATCTTATCTGTTGATTTCATTGGTTAATAATAAAGAAACTGCCTCGACCCTCATAGGACAGAAAATTAGGTAGGCGGAGTAGACAGAGGAGAATGCTGGGA